GTTTGTGTGTGCATATGTTTGTGTGTACGCGGCTGTGTGTGTGTGTGTCTGTGTATGTGTCTCTACGAGTCTCTGTGTGTCTGTGTGTGCGTATATTTGTGCGTCTGTGTATGTGTGGCATGTATTTGTGTCTGTGCGTGTCTGTGTTTGTGTGTGCGCGTATTTGTTTGTAATGTGTGTCTGTGTGTGCGAGTACGTATTTGTGTGTGAGTGTATTTTTGTGTGTCTGTGTATATGTCTGTCGGTGTATACGTATGCGCGTCTGTATCTTCGTGTGTGCGTCTCTGTGCATTTGTCTGTGTGTGTGTTTAGGCATGAGTTTGTTTTCTGCGTGTCGAATTCATCAATATTCGTGCATAAAAGAGAAAGTGAGAGAAAGAAAGAAAGAAAGAAAGAAAAAAGAAAGAAAGAAAGAAAGAAAACGTAAAGATGAAAAACTTGGAATATTTCGTAATTACCTCTTCGGCCAGATTCACTTCATTTCTCGTGAAGCTCTCCATACGAAAGTGAGGAAAATTCAATTTACTTAGTAATTTCAAAATTTACCTCTAATATACCATTAGACAATTTATGCTAGAAGTCATAAAAGCCTTTTCGATCAGAAAATGGATTCTGATTCCAAAAGTTTACCAATCGTAACAAGTACCGTATCTAATGTTGCACAGTCAGTGATACAAAATTCTTCATTTAAAGGTAATTAGGCAATGCACAGCAATCGGACGATTTTGCCAAATATGGCACCGGCTCATTTACTATTTCAAACTGAATAGGTTCAGCCTTTTGAAGAAGCCAAGATATTCCGTACACTTCCCGCCAAATTTACACGACGAACACGAAAGTGAGGCTGGAAAGGTTACAACATTCACAGAGCGAAAAATTAGCTTTATGGTCGATAGCGAATTGTTGGGGAACACAGAACGGTGCCATTTCTGTTAAGATAAAGGAATTACAAAGTATCGAATTGTTTGTTCGTCTTTGCATAGTTTGTTTTTATGCCTGTTCTTTGGGGAAGAAAGTGGCACGCATTTTATTTTATTCTGAGAGAAATGTACAAACAGAAATGTTTAACAGATTAAAGTATAAAAACAGGATTCAAAAAGAAAATTGTTTTCAGGTAATTCCTAACAATGAAAATTATTATTATTCTTATTATTGTTCTTTGTCACACAGTGTAAACTTCTGAATACACCAAGTATATTAAGCTATCTGTAAAGTCACAAAAAGAACCTCAAACAGGCAACACTTTCCTCAAAATATGCGCAGTACCCAAAAGATCTGAGTTTTCGATGGCTCCAATTTTCTATGTTTTAACTGAGTTATTAAAAACAACAGTAGAAAAACGGAGTTTATTACCTTTTGGAAGGAAGATATTGTTTAGCCGTGAATGACTATTTTCAGCATATGCTACTGCTCCTTCTGCTACTCCTCTTGATGTAGGTGTATTTTTATGTTTTTCTTCCGACTTGCAGGGAAATATTTTTCCTCACAACACTATGGTATCCCTAACTAGTCAAGGACGTCACACAGTTTTAATGGGATTGATCCCAATGCTCCTATCACCACTGGACTAACCTTGACATCACTTTCTTTTACTATCCAATTTTGCCATTTCAATTTTCAATGAAGAGTAGTTTGCAATTTTCTGTAATCATCTTGTTTGCTTTATTTGTAGCATTTGGTTTGGTAACATCAATAATATGAAAGTTTTAGGGTGTCTTTATTTAACATAATAATATCCGGACGGAGATAATATATCACTCTGTCTGTCTAAAAAATCATAGCCCCAAAATATTGTGGGCTTTCTAATTTGTTCTACAAAGCTCGTAGCAATTTGATATTCATACTTTAGACACACTAACCAATGTATACAAAAGGCATACATTACCATGATGCCTCTTATATTCTTTTTTATCTAGCATTTTGCAACCATTGATCGAGTGTGTCACTTTCTGAGAGTGTTCACCAAAATGCCAATATTACCTAAATTATTATTATTATTATTAGCTGAATTACCCGCGCGTTGATGCGTGTCACACATTTGTTTTTTAAATCATTGTTATAATTTGTGAAGAAAAATGATGCATTTCAATATTATTCAATGACCTTGCCGATGTGACCTCCATCTTCTGACTTTCTGCTTCTATATTTTGAATCATTTCCTTGTTCAAATTTAAATTTAATTTAAATCAAAAGGAAAAAAAATCAGTGTGGGTGTTTGTAACCCCTTTTGATCAAAATGAAATATATTCATCCAAGTACCCTAGGAGCCATTCCCTTGTTTAAATTTAAATTTAATTCATATCAAAGGAAAACATAATCAGTAGGGGATTTGCGCAAGGGGGCCGGGGACTCCCTATGATCAAAATGAAATATACTTATCCAAGTAACCTGGGTGTTGTAGTTTCAAATATATATGGTTATGGGGGGGTCTATCTCCAAAACCCTTGGAGGAGTTCGATAATAAACAAACAGACTTACAATAGCAACAACTTTATATATATATAGAGATTAGTATTATTTACTTTTATTTCTGTTGTATACTAATTTACTTAATTTTTTATTAGTTTTTAGGGGTCCAATCTCAAGATGGTATATCCAAACATGTTTTGAAACTAATAACAAATCTGTTAAATGGATCGATCGTGTTTTGATTCTTCCAAAGCTCTTAATATAAAATCGATTATTTAATTCAATTTAACTGCATTTTAATTAAAGTTAACTGCTTTTAATTAAAGTTAACTAATATTTAGTTATTAAACTGAATTTCAGCCCTCACCCCTATCCACAGTGGATATATTTCCGAACAGCCAATGGATGCCTGGAACAGCGTATATCACCGAACTCAGTATATACTTGTCCTTTCTAATATATAAGCAGCTATAATAGACTTTAATTTATGTATTAGGCAATTCACGATAATTTATAACAAAATAAAAGAATTGTTCCTACCGTAGATCTTAGTAACTTTGGCGCTTCGTTGTGGGTTAATGGCTAATGTGTCTATCCTTACTTGGCCATTAGTAATGAGTCCAATTCTCCCTACACAAAAATTCACCATTAAATGACCCAACAATTGTTCATGTGCCGTAAAATTGACCTAAATTAAGGATATGATCTTTTCTTATTAACCTATTAATATGTAATATAAAATCCGCTATTAATTATATTATTAAATTTTTAATAACTATTGTCTTTTTTACTTTCCCTTGACATGCAAAACCCATTTTTCATCACCTGTAACAATGTCATGTACGGTTGTCGTACACCTCGGCCTTCTTCAGATAATATTGACATTCAGAATGCTGCAGATGTGTTCAATTCTCAAGCGAAAGTCCATAGGAGACGCAAATTCGCTCTTTGCAAGTTTCTCCATTTCGTGGACATCTGCAACATTCTTGTAGCCAGGAATGCCAATATTATCTGAAGAAGGCCGAGGTGTACGACGACCGAAACGTTGTGAATATGGCAATAAAGATAAAGGAAACAGTCCGATAAATATAAATAGAGTAAATAATTCTTAGTTGTTTGAATAAATTTTTAATTTTTTAAATTTCATTTCAGTTGACCGTCCTTTCTGTCTCTTTAGAAAGTTTACTTACGGCCATATCACATTGAAATATCGGTTCATCTACGATTGCCGAAGTTAAGTAACTTCGAGCCAAGTCAGTATCTAGATGGGTGACCTCTAGGGATGTGCGGGTGGTGTAATAGATAATAGCTCGGAATTATTAATCGGAGAGCCGAGTTCCAATTCCCATAGGGTTCGTTATATCCACTTACGCGCAAATGTCTTTGGGAAAAATACGAATCGCCCTCTTCTCCTCCCCACTATTGATTTTTTAACATCAAATCTTTATTATCTCAAAAAAAAAAATATTCTGATAATCTAAAAATATTTTCTGGCTTTAAATAACCTGTAAAAGGTTGATAAGCCGTAGAAAAACGAATCAATCAATGAAATACTGATTAAATTTATTTACATTCTCTGGAATATAAATGTATAGATACTACCGTGACCACAAAGTGAGGATTCAGTTTACATGTCAAATTTAATATAGACTTGATCCTCTACTTTATATCCACATTATCATTTCTTGTTTGTTGATAAGCCGTAGAAAAAAAAATCAATCAATCAATGAAATACTAATTAGCTACACAGGCATGTCTTTTAGATTTATTTACATTGTCTGGAATAGAAATTTATAGAAATTACCAAGGCCACAAAGTGAGGGATCAGTTTATATATAGATTTTAATATAGAATTGATCCCCCACTTTATATCTACATTATAATTTGTATATTTCTGAGATGAGGTATTATGTACATTATATACATTATTCGGACTATTGCCCTCATCTTTGTCGCCATATTTATCACAACGTTTCGGCCGTTGTACGCTTCGGCCTTCTTCAGGGGTTGGAATTTCAAACTGAACCCTTTATTTCTACTGGGGTAGACTGTTCTAGTTCCACATGCCATGTTTGATGGATGTCAGTTATCAGTTATCTCCTGCTAATTTTCCCTCTGAAAGTTCTCCACTGTCTTAACCGGATATTGAACTCACACTCTTTGGGTCCTGTCACTGGATCTAACCAACGCCTTTATCCACTGTGCCATGTGTCCTGAAGAAGGCCGGAGCGTACAACAGCCGAAACGTTGTGATAAATATGGCGACAAAGATGAGGATAATAGTCCGAATAATGTAAATAATTTCATATTTGTTTATCAAATTCTGATTAGCTATGAATATTCTCCCCCCAACTATGGGTTAATTAGTAAGACTTGTCTCATTAAATCATTATTATCTCCAAAATAGAAACAAATCTTACAATCTAAAAAATATTTTCTGGTTTTAAATAACCTGAAAAGAGTTGATAAGCCGTAAAAAACGAATCCATCTCTTTTTTTTTTAAATTTTGATTTCTATATGTTTCCTTTTTATCAATAAAGACTTTATAATTTTTATTTTCGCAGCCAAGCCATTCTTTGTGCATCCTCTAATGTCCCGTCATATGGATGTCGGGAGCCAACTGGTTTGGCGTTGTGTGGTACTGGCTTTTCCTTTGGCACAATTCGCCTGGTATAAGAACTCGAAACTTCTTCGCGACGGCCAGGATGGAATCAAGATCGATGGAAACACCCTGAAGATTGAGTCTTTAGTTGATTCTCTGCACAGTGGCATGTATCAATGTGTCGCGACGAATAACCATGGCAGTTCCTACTCGAGCGCCCAACTTCGGGTTTTGTGTAAGTGCTGGAAAAAAAAGGTTAAAATTCAATTATTATTTTCAGACTAGCATCTTAATCTATTTTTTTTTTTTTTTTTTATCACGGTGTTTGTAATTACTTTCAAAATCACGCCTATTGTATTCTATAGTCAGTCGGTGAGGTTGGGCCCAGTGGCGTATATCATTTGATCTTTCCCATCTAATGTATGGATTGCATAAACAGCTATCTGTTGAGGCCAGTTTGACCACACCGAATCTATCGTTAAAAAGAACATTTGTAAAAAAGAACTATAAAGAAAGCATGCCATTTCACAACGTAAGCGATCGGGGATCACGACAGATTGCTTTCGCTCTAGCAAGGTAATAAAGCCACTAAGATACATGTGGTTTGCTGAGTGTGAAAGAATAAGATAAATAAAAAAACACTGAGGAGCGACAACAATAAAAGAAGAGGAATCAAGAAGACAGAAGATAACAATTAACATTGCATTTAATTTTTTGAAGATCAAACTAGGCTGGAAAGCCAGAAGTGAGTTCCACAGGCGAGAAGTGTGAGAAAAGAAACTGTTACCATAAGACTTACGATTACATCTAGCCATTTCAACTGTAAAATGATGAGACCTTGCCGCCAATCTAGTACTGCACTTAAATTCATAAAGTCTAGGAAACTTCATCAGAACAATTACTAGTATTTAGTGTAGGGTTAGTGAATTTAATTTTAACAAAAAAATTGTATATGCAGAGAGTGTCGGCGAAATTTGTCCGCTCATTCCGACCACATAATCCTAACTTTCCTGGTAAAGAATAACATGTTCGACAGTCTCACTATACTCCCGACTTGGTTCTGTGTGACTTCTGGCCCTTCCCCAATCTGGAAATCACACTGAAAGGGAAGCGATTTGAGTCGCGGGAGGAAATTAGGAGAAATGTGATGACGGAGCTCCATAGGATTCCAGATGAGTCGTTCCAGATGAGGCGTTCCAGATGAGCCGTTCCAGATGAGGCGTTCCAGATGAGGCGTTCCAGATGAGCCGTTCCAGATGAGGCGTTCCAGATGAGCCGTTCCAGATGAGGCGTTCCAGATGAGGCGTTCCAGATGAGCCGTTCCAGATGAGGCGTTCCAGATGAGCCGTTCCAGATGAGTCGTTCCAGATGAGGCGTTCCAGATGAGGCGTTCCAGATGAGCCGTTCCAGATGAGGCGTTCCAGAGGTGTTTCTAGCATTGTCAGAACCACTGAGTTCTCCTGTGTTAGAACGCCAAAGGGGAGTATTTTGAAGGTGACTGCATAAAATTTGTGAAATCTGCAAAATGTTTTGTTACCAAAGTTCGGATACTTTTTGAACGCACCTCATAATCTGTTCTTCGGAAAGAAGTTACGTTTCACCTGAAATATGTTAAATTCGTTTTAATATTATTCTTCAATAAGGTAATCTTCATATCTCTATAAAAGGCAGGATGTGTGTGTGTATGTGTGTGCAACAAATGCACGGCTGCAATTTTCGACGGATTTGCACCAAAATTTACATGCACATGCTCCAAGTTAGCGGGAAGGCCAAAACCGACTTTGCATTTCCCAACTCCCATCGATAGTGGAAATAATCGATTATTTTCTTGCTTCTACGGCAGTTTTCATGTAGTTTGTGGCCATTTTGTACTGGCCAGAGTGAGAGCCTATAGCTGGCTGCCACGAATAGGCAGGAAGATTCTATTGGCCAGCGTGAGAGACAACAGCTGACTGACACGAATGTTAACAAGCATGCAAAAATAATCGATAGCTGCATTCGTCAGGAGTGGGAAAAATTTAAATCTGCATGGCATTTTACTCCAATTGGCTTATTCGCTTGCTTAAACTCAACGTTGATTCTGATTCCGCAGAACTGGGTTGGGTGTGAAAAAGTATTTGCTGTTAACATTCTTTTTTCATTCGGTTTTTCCAGTTACGAGTCCTTTTTTTAAATCTGATCGTTTTGTGTTCATTTTGTTTAGTTCTTTTTTCGTAACACATTTAATTGTTAGTATAGAGCTTAGAAAAATTCGCAGTGTGAGATAGGCAAGAAGTAAGGCATGTAGCAACATCAGCAATGCAAAGGGCACTCCTTTAAAGGTTAGGAAGGGCAAAAATATTTTGAGTCAAGTGATAGCGATTGCTGTATGAGTCGTACGATTTTTGAATCAAGCACGGGCAACGCCGGGCCATGCTGCTAGTAATTTATAAAACCTATATAAGCTTCATTTTCAATAGTCACAAATCACCAAGAAGTCAAACTTTCACTTTTAATGAAATATGAGATTGTCTCCAAGACTGTTCTTTGTTTCGGAATGTCCTGACACTTATATAATGTTCTAGTAATCTAAACAAAGGCAAGTCGGTAGGTGCTCATCATTATTCCAGCGCAGTCGGGATCATGAAACTATCCTTTCTTTAGCTTTCTTTACTATACGCTACGCTAGGGCTACATAAAGTTTTGAATTCAGAGTTATTTTCTCTATCCAAGGCTACAGAACCCAGTCTATTCTGCTATTTACCCGTAGTTGGGAGAGAAGAAGCGGATCCATACCTTTCCCAAAGGTATTAGCACGTAAATAAATGGAATAGATCCGACTGGAATTCGAACTCAGCTCTCCGATTTCTCAATCCGAATCGAACCATTACTCCACTGTCCCTCCTATGCTAAATCTGGCGAGTGTGGAGGATGTGGAAAAACCGCCGGTCATAACGATCTGATTTTTTCTTGGGCTTGTTTTACAAGGTCTGCCCTGACATTGTGGAGAATAATACCTTTTCTATTTATCAAAGGAGGACACTTTCGACGTCATGTTTGATTTGATCTATCACGTTAACAATGACGTTTGCAGTGAGGATCCTTCCATGTTGAAGTCCTTCCACCAGACGCGAAGAAAAGACTTCTATGGACGAAGACCTAGTTTCAGTGTTGGCATCGGCTTCTCATATTTTAATAATCACGATATTTTTCATTTTCTGTTGACATGCAGAACCCATTTTTCATCGCCTGTAACAATGCGATGCAAAAATAAAAGATCGGCATTCCTAGCTACAAGAATGCAGTAGAATGTATTAAATTCTCAAGAGAAGGCCCACTAACAATTTACATTCTCTCTTTGCAAGTTTTCCCCATTCGCTTGAAATGTTCGTGGACAGTTGAGCATGATACATTACGAGTTTACGCAAAATGTTTGTTGCTTTGACGGGGATAAAATTTAATAATCTCTTTCAAAATTACTTAATTAAGAGTTGTCAACAGGGGTGAGGCTTAACGGATGTCACAATAGCCATCTTAAAACCTTTTAAACCACAATCACTACTAGATCCGTGTACACAGCAATAAAAAAAACGTCTCTGTAGTATTATCACACATTTCTTCATGTCTTGATCTAATATCAGTCCTACTCCTCTTTCACTTTCTCTCCGCTTGCATATATGATCCTGTGTTTCTCACTGATGAAATCGCCATTTGTCGTTTCACATACGCCCAATATATTAATATTTAATCTGCTCATTTCCTGCTTTATTTTCTAACTGGCCGCATTGATTTAATGTTCTGAGATTCCATGTCCCGAGAATAATTTGTTATGAACAGTCGCTAGATGACGGTCAGCCAAAGATGCTTTCGAAAATCTAAGCAGATTATTAAGACACAGAAAAACATCGTTAGAAACAAAGAAAAAGGCACTGAACTGTTACGTAATATCAGTCCTCCCATATGGCAGTGAATTCAGAACAATCTCCTCAAAGATTGTTATGGCGAACGACTTTTTTCTTCCTCCGTATGAGTTCGAATCCTCGTCGCCAAGTGTGTTATGGAGTGGTTTCACAGTGGAGGCTTGTATTTGTACTAAGTCGATCCTAAAATAGGTTCGACGTACAAAACATTAGGAACTTGATATAATAGGTAATGACGCAGAGAAATCTATTTGTGGTCGCTGATACTTTAGTATCCGACTAACAGTCGTCCGGCATCGACTGACTGACCTAGCCACCCACTCGTTACTCTTACTACTCCTACTTATTATGGGTGGGAGAGTTTATTAACTATAGAATAGGTGTATTCCACTATAACAAAGATGAAGAAGAAGTAGAAGAAATGTGGTTCTACAAGAGGATGCTGAGGATACCATGGACGGAACAATAACGAAGTTTTAAGGAAAATGGAAAGAAAAAGAAAACTTATACTTAATCTCAGAAAGTCACAGTTGAAATTTCTAGGGCACATAATGAGGAAAGCGGGCTTGGGAAATCTGATACTCACAGGATAGATTGAAGGCAAAATGGGCAGAGGAATACAACGTATAACCTACTTAGTGAGCTTGAGTAAATGGATAACGGGACAGGGTTTAGGAGAGATAACAAAAAGACAAAAATTATTAACAGTTACGAAGGACAGAAAATTGTGGGGAGCCATGATCGTCTACGTCCTGAAGCAATGACGAATAAATTGATCTTAAGGTTGCAATGGGATAAAACTAATGCTTTATAAACGACAGACTGACAGACAGAAAAGATTTAATCTAGGCTTTGCTTTGCTTGATTTTTTCAGAATTCATGGCGGTCAAATATGTAATATTCGTGTTTTTGGAATTTTCAGCCTTCAAGCCGATATTTGCAAAAAATCCAGTAACCGCTGAGCAATTCGCCTGTTTAGGAGGTTCTATTATGCTCTTCTGTCAACCGGAAGCTGCACCGTTCCCAACATTCAATTGGACCAAAGATGGCTACTTCATCACACCGAAAACCAATCCAAGGGCAACCATATTGCCAAATGGTAATCTCGTTTTGAAAGATGTTAAAGCGGAAGATGGCGGCATTTACACGTGCATCGCGAAAAATTCGCAAGGGGAAGCGACAAGTTCGGGAAAAGTAAAGGTCGTGAGTAAGTGAAACTTTTATTTCGATATTAAATGGCTTTTTAGGAAATTTTGCCCTTCAGCTCTCGTTGTGCCTAGCTCTTTTCAATCTCATTGACAATGATTTTTAGAAACGACCAGTTTGAATATGATTGGGTTTAATCCTATGCCACAGAATAACGCCATCTTGGGACAATAATGACAATACAATTAAGAAAAATGTGATGACACTACTCATTCATGAGACACAGAAGTACGAAGAAAGTTCGCTCGATGAAGCTTGATGTAAACCGCTTCTAAAAACCGTAAACGTTTAACCGACCGAGTAACACCTTGAACGCTTCAACAAAATATTCCGAAGCGCAACCCGAGTTGTTAAACAAATGAAGTCCAATCGCTGACTCACAAACTGACTGTGTCACGTAATTACTGTTGCTAGCTCCAACAAATCATTCTGGAGAAGAGTTGGACGATAAACGTTCCTTTAAAAGAATGAGCTCCATCATTTAAAAAAAACATATCTAAATTCTGTGGTATAGAAATATGTTTGTTTAAATATATATATATATGAAAGCATTAAAATATATTATTTCTTTTTGTGCAGGACACAGTTCCATAAGCCAGAAGCCACGGAATACAACAGTCTTGGTGAACGAAACAGCCTTTCTCTATTGCCATGGATCTGTACCGAAATCAATGGATCATATCTATAATTGGTTTTTTAACGGCAAACAGATCGATATTGACAGAAATCAACACTATATTATGGTTTGTTTCTCATCGATCTGTCGAGTCATTTCAACCGATTCAGTTTGTCCATTCTTTCTTTTTGATTAATTTACTCCAAGGAAGGCGATGATTCCACTAAAACGTAAGGGGTTACTGTTAATGAAGTAGAATCAGAAGACTTTAGAAGGAACCAGAAACCCAATCTTAAACAGTGATAAACCTCTACTTCTGTTCAAAAGACCTGAAAGAACTGTGAACCCTACGATAGGCTGATTTTTTAACGTCTCAGTCCTTTGTGAATTCAGAGTTGAACTGTTCATTGTGACAATGAACAATAATCCGTCTGTCGAGGTTCACCAATTTGGATACATTTGGGGAAAAGTTAATTTCTCGTCGGATGGAATCTTCTGGATGTTTCTTTTTTCTTTTGTTTTATTTGTTAATGCACAATTAAGAATTCGGTTATCAGTCAAAATCAAACGATGGAATTAATAATTATAACTCATTTATTAGTGACTGATGTCGATATAAAAATATTTTTAATCTGCAATCGTTTTATTTCTGAACCAGCAGACGATCAATGAATTCTCATCAAAATTTTTCTTTCTTACTTCGCCTTTCCAGCCATACATTCTTTCTATTTTCTTTCTTTCTTACCTTCCCATTATTTTTCATTCATTTTTCTATCTTACCATTTTTCTTTCTTTCTGTTTCTATTTTTATCGTTTTTTCTTATATTCTTTTTTCTTTCTTTCATATCTTACTATTTTTTGTCTTTCATTCTTTTTATTTTACTCATTCTTTCTTTCTTTCTTTCTTTCTTTCTTTCTTTCATACCTTCCCATTTTCTTTCTTTCTTTCTTTCTTTCTTTCTTTCTTTCTTTCATACCTTCCCATTTTCTTTCTTTCGTTCTTTCTTTCTTTCTTTCTTATCTTCCCATTTTCTTTCTTTCTTTCTTTCTTTCTTTCTTTCTTTCCCATTTTCTTTCTTTCTTTCTTTCGTTCGTTCTTTCTTTCATACCTTCCCATTTTCTTTTTTTCTTTCTTTCTTACCTTCCCATTTTCTCTCTTTCTTTCTTTCTTTTTCTTTCTTTCTTTCTTTCTTTCTTTCTTTCTTTCTTTCTTTCTTACCTTCCCATTTTCTTTCTTTCTTTCTTTTTTCTTTCTTTCTTTCTTTCTTTCTTTCTTTCTTTCTTTCTTACCTTCACATTTTCTTTCTTTCTTTCTTTCTTTCTTTCTTTCTTTCTTTCTTTCTTACCTTCCCATTTTCTTTCTTTCTTTCTTTCTTTCTTTCTTTCTTTCTTTCTTTCTTTCACCTTCCCATTTTCTTTCTTTCTTTCTTTCTTTCTTTCTTTCTTTCTTTCTTTCTTTCCGTCCCATTTTCTTTCTTTCTTTCTTTCTTTCTTTCTTTTAATCATACATTTCTATTTTTTCTTTTCATTTTTCCTTCTTAGCAGTTTTCTTTCTTTTTTATTTCTTTCTTAGCTTCTTATTATCGTTCTTTCATCCTTTCTATCTTACCAATTTTCTTTGTTTCTTTGTTTGTTTGTTTGTTTCTTTCTTTCTTACCTTCCCACATTCTTTTCTCTTTCTTTTGTTTGACTATTTGACTAATTGTGTTCACGCCTTCTCCAAAGAAACTTTGAAACTATAATATCTAGCGAGCGATTGTAAAACACTAAGAATGACTGACGGAACATCTTGCCAGTTCCTGAACCACTACACCACTTATATATCTGCCTTGTTATGTACAAGTGAATAGCATAACGGTGGATCTGTTCTGTTTTAAATACTTTGAAACTTTTCGCGTAGCCTCAGCCATTAATAACTTTTATATAAGTTTTATAAACTTTCTCCACCCAAATTCTAGTTTATCCGAAAGAAGCCATAAGTGAGCAGAGTTTCCCTGAGAGAATAACGAAACGAAAGCAACATTAAAATTCCTTGACCAGCCGAGAATTAATCCAATCACAGGTATCAATTCTGCTACTTAGCGTACTTTTGGCGCATAAGTTCTTGAATTATTGAAACACTTCGATCTCCAAACGAAGGCAGATTTTGACAAGATCCTTCTCATGAGATTTTGACCTGACTTCAAGCAATGAAACATTGATAGGAAACCAGCTGTCTTGACTCCCTTAGTGTCAGGAAAAGCGACCGTATTAAGGCGAAGAGAAAAAGGCGAAAAGAAAAAGGCGAAAAGAAAGTGAATGTTTACCAAGTCAGCGGCAAAGGTAATGACGTCACGTGTCGGTGAAGTTTGATCACGTGGCCTCGTATTTCAGGCCGAGATTAGGTCTCTCCCCGGATGACGCGTGTTGCTCAAACTGACTTTCCATCTCACAAATAATTCATAAATACATGGACGTTAGAGGCATGAATATGGTGCAGAGGCGGGGTAGAAAGGTTTTGGTGTTCCTAGTAAGAACTTTAAACACCTGCGTTTCTTCAACTTTAATTGACGATAAATTATATTTAGGACGCGTAATTAAACCCGATCGACAAAGAGTTATGCCGCCTAGACATTTGCCTGTCATCAGATACTGGATCATGTGATGCAAGGTTTTAATCAATGTGTTATACACAGCAGACAAAACACAGTGATTGAATTAACAAGGATGGGGATATTGGTCTTAACAATTCATAAAATAATGTCTTGATGAAAATTATCGTTATGTTTATACCCTTAGATAAAATTAAGAACGTTTATTTACATTATTTACATTGTTCGGACTGTTGTCATTGACTTTCTTGCCATATTCACGACGTTTCGACCATTGTACGTACCGGTCTCCTTCAGGTGATTAGAATTTCGAACTGAATCTTTTATTTCATCCGCTGCGGTAGACTGTTCTAATTCCACGTGTCATGCCGCTTCCGGATGTCTCAGTTATTTCCCTTTAACTCAACTCACCAGATTTTTGAACTCACAACTCTTTGGGTCAAGACACTGGATCCAACTTTTAAACACTGACCCATGCCTCTTGAACACAGCAAGAAAGAAGAGGAGTACAATTTGAATAATACCTCACCTCAGAAATATAGACAAATCCTGAAGAAGGCCGGGGTGTACAACGGTCGAAACGTAGTAAATATGGCAATAAAGTTGAGGAGAACAGTCCGAACAATATAAATAATTACAATACCTCATCTCAGAAACATAGACAAATCCTGAAGAAGGCCGGGTGTACAACGGTCGAAACGTAGTAAATATGCCAATAAAGATGAGGAGAACAGTCCGAACAATATAAATAATTACAATACCTCATCTCTAAATATAGACAAATCCTGAAGAATGCCAGAGCGTACAACAGCCGAAATGTTGTGAATATGGTAATAAAGATGAGGACAACAGTCCGAACAATGTAAATATTGTAAATAATTACAATTCTCACCTCAGAATTATAAACAGATTCTGAAGAAGTTTGGAGTGTACTACAGCCGAAACGACATGACTACTGCAACAAAGATGAGGATAACAGTCCGAACAATGTAAACATTTACAATATCTCCTATCAGGAATATAGGCAGATATAGGATCGTTTAGTTTTAACAAGATTCGTAAAGATCGTTTTATGTTTTGATTGTATCAAATCGGAAGTAAACGAAAGAAAGATGGAAGAAAATAATAAACGTTTTCAGCATACTTTTCTTTCTTTCTGAAAATATAAACGAAATGTAAAACAAAATACTTCTTTTATGAATAAGGTTCTGTAAATGACCAAACTTGTCAAAAGTGATTTGCGAAATTCTATACTGGTGATTTCACGCTGAACAGTGTTCCACGGTCAGATCGACCAGTTGAATTTGTTAGAGATCAGCTCAAGCTATTTCTTAAGTATAATAAACGCCATACGATGGAAGAAATAGACGATATACAGAAATATCAAAGCCAATCGTTAGAAATCATTTGAAACAACAGAAGTATATTAGTTGCTTTGGTGCTTAGCTTCAATATAAGCGAAAATAACCTATGTATTAAATTTCCAGTTGCGTTTCCCTGCTTAAACGCAACGAGAATGTTTCATTATTTAAACAACTTTGGATGGGCCATGAAAAGTGGATAGTTTACAACAACGTGGAACGGCACGAGATTGTGGTGTAAGCGAAATGAACCACCACTGGCCGTAGCAAAAAGTGAAGATTATATATATTTGGTGGAGTTGGAAGTAGGTATAATTTCGATCCTTTCTCAGAATCAAACAGTTCATTTGAAAAAATAGTGCTCTCACTTAGACTAATTGTAAACAGTAACCGATGAAAAGAATCTGGAATTCGTTAAAAGAAATAGTGGCATTTTTGTCTGAGATTTTGGGATAAGGCGTTATCATTATTTACATTATTTGATGTCCTCATATTTGTTATCTGTTATTACAACTTTTCAGCCGTTACTGAGTTGGTAGGTGAATTTCCCTGGGCTGGGTAGTAAAGACGCAGACGAAGTGGAAACAGAGCGAACAATAAATAAAACGATGAGATCACCGTAGACCTGAACAGACCTTAAGGAGAATAGATTAAATAAAGGGTTCATTTTGAAATTCCCAGATCGATGGACACCTGAAGAAGGCCAAAGGACACAGCTGTCGAAACGTTGTGATAATAACAAGTAAATAATGTAAATAAGAAAGCGCGAATGATAGTTTGTTTGAATGACCAGTCAAAAATGTCACAGCTTGGCTGTGAAAGTTTGATTCTTACACCATGTTTATTCGATTATTACACCATTTGGATTACAGTTTATTTTGGTCTCTATAGAATTTTTTTTAATGAAAAAAAATCAATTCCCTGGAAGACTGCAAAAGGCAATTAATCCTAACCCAGCGCTCAGAGACGATCAGGATATTTTTTTTTATCACAGTGGGAAAATTATTGCCTGTTTTGTGGCACTGGTTAGAGTCTATGATAATAGTGCGGTAACCGTCATAGTTGTGGAATGGTAATGGCGATAATAATATTAATGGTGATAGCAATGGTAAGAGTGATGGTAATGATAATGGTAATGGTGATGGTAATAGTGGTGATGATGGTAATGGCAATGGTAAAAGTAACATTACCATTACTCTTAAAGTAATGGTAATGTTAATGGTAATAGTAATGATAATGTTAAGGTGCTAATAATAGTTTAACAGACTATTATTTTTAGAGGAAATGTTTCTCGGCTCCGACTTCCGGAGGTTGCTACCTGGGGTCAGATGGGAGCCATAATAGAGAAGTCGATATTGATTGGCTGAGCTAGCGTGGGAAAGAGATAGGAGAAAGATTTCAGCGAGTTGTTTCTTGCCCGTTAAGCAACTTAGATGTGTTTTTTTTGGGGTCCAAAACGGCTCCCCAGTGATTGGGGCACCTCCCCACCAACACACACACACCGGAGAGTTACATAATGTACATGTCGACATTCTCTGTGTTTGGAGTCTTTCATTATCGAACCAAAACGATTAGCGATCGTCGGCCGAGCTGAGATCGAACATTTAGAGCTACTGCCGGTTGGAATTCATAAAATATTTCTTTTTATCAAAACAACTTTTTATTAGATTAAACTTCTCAATTTCATTAACCATTATAGCGCTTTCTAATATCACTGGGTACTTCCTTGCAATCATTTTGTTTTTGTTTTGTGAGGGCAACGGGCATTCGTTGCCACTTTTGTGATATCAACGAATACTCGTTGTCTCTTTCGTAATGCTCGTTGTAGTAGAGACTTTGTAATCGCAGATACATCTATAGTAACGCCATTGAACAATACTGGTGTCAGACGCCTTCGAATAGCACTCGTACTAATAGTAATTGCTTGATAATATTCGCTCGAATAGTAATCTGTATAGTGATCTGAACAGAGAAATAGTATAGTGAATAGAGTAGAGAATAGCGGTCCATACAGTAATAGAGGAGAGACTAGAAATAGCGATCCGAATAGGAATAGAGGATAGAATATAATGCAGATCGTTAGTCGTCAGCTACTTCCTACATATACGCGTTTCCTCTATGGTCACGTGGTCTACTTAATTCAATAATGGGATCGCCTCTATTTGCTCACTGGCGATCTATGTTCAAACTCAAGTGTTGGCAGTGACACTTTATTCCTATAAAACATTTTGGTAGTGTGTAAAGTTAATAGCATTACTATATCATTATTTTCTTTTAGACTTCAAAGTGTTGCATATTTTCTTGTTACTGCTGTTGGATATATTCAGGTAATGTAGTTTTTGTTACTTGAAAAAGATCTTCGTGATTATGTAGCGGCGGCTCGTCTTCTTTAAGGTTTGAAGCCTTAATTTCATTCTCACAATTTTTAACCATAGATTAAAAAAAACACAGTTGTTTATAGAATATAGTTTAGAGATTTCTGAATGACTTGGAGTCCTTGTATGTCTTCCACATAAGAGTTTCGTTCTGACGAAGTAATTTGAGACATTTTTGCTTTTTAAGCATTTTATAACGATGGTCAAAAGAACCCCGGGTGTAAACTTTCTTGTGTTCAACTCTTTTATGCTGACTTTATATTAAGTAGTTCAGGTACTGAGTTATTTTTTTAATCAGTTTCACCCCAAGCAAGGCAATAAAGCCACTAAGACACGGGTGTGGAAGAATAAGGAATAGAAATAATAATGGGCGGGAAGAGAAAAGAGTAATCAGGAGGACAAGAGATAGCGATTGACATTGCATTTAAATTTTTGAAGATAAAAGTTTGCTGGAAAGCATAGGACTGGAAGGGACTTCCACAAGCGAGAATTGCGAGAAAAGAAACTGTTAGCATAAAATTTACGGATACATCTAGCCATCTCGACTGTAAATTGGTGAGATCTCGGCGCCACATTAGTATTGCCCTTAAATTAAGAAAGTTTAGGTACCATAGCGAAGAGCCCATCCGAACAATTACCCTGAAAGTATTTATAGAGATGACAGAGAGTGGTAAGCTTATGGTAGTTGGAAGTGACTGAAGCCGAACTATCAGATCAGGACCAATAATATTGCTGATTCTTTTTTGTATTTTATCAGAGTTCAAGGTAAATTGCAGGGACACCGGACCATATGTGGCAGTAATATTCTAAGCATGAACAAACGGTAGACTTATGTATGATAGATTCTGGAGAGAAAAATTGTCTCGCACGACACAGTGAACCACCTTTCTTAGCAATGGATTCAATATAGTCTTTTCATTTCATGTCAGCCGAGACGGCGCAACGAGTCACTTTCCTGGAGGTTAGCATCAGCCATGCTGATAGAAAGCAGAGAGAGTTCTCTCATATGATTAAGGGAGAGAAGTTTAGTTTTGGAAGCATTAAAATTAACAAGCCATCATTTGCCCCAGTTAACAATTGACTTAAGGTTGTTTTGGACATCGGATGTTATTTTGACCTTGTCAGACTAATTAGCCTTACTATCGAGACAGGAAAAATGGTTTTGTCATCAGCGTAGATACCAAGTTGAGAGCTGATGGCATCGGGAAGGTCATTAATAAAAATTAAAAGCAAAATGGGACTGAAGATGGAGCCCAGGGTGGGGGTGGCGCCCGTTTAAGTACAAATGGATCTAGACGAGTGGCTGTTCAGGGTAACCTCCATTTCACGATTTGATAGGACAGACTGGATCAATTCAAAAATGTGTCCAGAGACACCGTAAGTTTTCAGTCTGTGAAGAAGACCTGTATGTCAAACCATTTCAAAGACTTTCGAGATGTCCAAACCTACAGTTCGGGCTTCACCGTTTTTATCTAGAGCACGATAGACTCTTTCAATTATTTTCAGTACATCAGTAGTTGACCTGGAGAAACGAAAGCCATTTTGCTTGTCTGAAAAAAGGCCTTGCGATGAGTGATACTTAACCAATTCAACATACATTAGGGCCTCTAGAACTTTCCCCAAGAGAGGTAAAAGGCCGATAGTTGGAAGGGTCGGAGAGTTCGCTAGAGTTCTTAAAAACTGGAACAACAGATGATGACTTCTAACAGGCATGGAATCAGGAGGCAGCGAGTCGTTTGTTATAGAGTTTAGAGAGAACAGGAGCCAGTCCGAGAATACACTTCTTAATGACTATTGCATGGATACCATCGGGTCTACATGCTTTGTGGAGATCTAGATTAGAGATGATAGCAGAAGCAATGGATGGGGTTATATACATATCCCTCAACAGAGACTTAGTTTTAAGTGGGAAGTTACACAGGGATACTCTAGATCAGTCAAGTACAGAGTTTAAGGAGAATTTACTAGCAAAGCATTCGTCTTTGTCAGCAGATGATGATCATACCTCAAATCGATTGGAGAGAGAAGAAATAGAGACAGTACACTTATTTAATACCCTATTACAGAGCCGCCAGCAATCAGGTTTCGAATGTATCAATTCAGGGTAGGTGTTTAACTCCAGTTTAAACGTAAGTCTTACAAGTTGGGTGCTATCGCCTTGCATTTCGTTATATTTGGTATTTTTCCGTAGTTAGTGAATTCATGCAGATATTTTGTTGATATAAAACTTACTTAAAGATGTTTTTTTCTTATATTTATGTCCTTTTCTTTGTTCTTTGCAGGGAACGTCTAATCAACAGCTCGGCCTTTATATTCGTTCGGCTCAGTTAAGACATGCAGGTCGTTACAAGTGCGTTTTGCAAACACCGATTGACTTTGCAGAATCTGAAGCTATGCTGGATGTCATTGGTAAAATCCCCTTACGTTGCTCTTCCTAATTTGTAATTAACTGTGCAATAAATAAACAGAAATCGATAAGCATACCGAGAGATATTAAAATATGTGTAAAAACGATTCTTTACTACACAAGTATCTAGTAATTATCTAGGATCTGGTAATTTACTATACAACGAGTTTGGTCAGAAACCTTAGATAAGCAACCGTTTGGAAATAACAGGTGCTGTGAGCTTGGATGTGCGGGTGGTGTAATGGATAATCAGAGAGACGAGTTCCAATTCCAATTGGGTTCGTTATTTTCACTTACGGGCAAATATCCTTGGAAAAGGTATGACTCCTCCTCTTCTACATTCGATACAATTTCTGTCTGAAATACACCAGAGTATTTTGCTTACTGGAAATAGTAAATTTAATCTTTTAGTTTTCAATTAAAGCTAAATTTAAAGCTTCAAGAAATCTTTTTCATTTTAAAACATTCATTTTAAAGCTTATGTATACTGTATTCGTGGAGGTGCCTATATAACATATTATTTTAAGACATTTTTATGCTTATATATTCTTTTTTATAGATACAAATATTTAAGTAAATGCTCACTTTTATAATAAAACAGTATTAACAACGTTTACGGGCCTGAATGTCCGAGAAATTGTCATAGAAAATATGCGTCCTCCGACAGTAATTTCTTTTCTTTAATATTTAGTTTACAGATATGTTTTATTTATGCGTTAATTTTACTATATATATATATATATATATATATATATATATATATATATATATATATATATATATATCCATCCATCGATCCAGAAGCACCTATATAATTTATAGTTTTATGTACATAGCATTTAGTCTAATCCAATATATATATATATATATATATATATATATATATATATATATATATATGTGTGTGTGTGTGTGTGTCTTTATTCCGATTTATTTGTCACACTCTATATAGTCACACTCACATCGATACGTATTGATACCAGATATGTTTCGTTCTGGTGTGATTAAGCAGTCTCCTCAGTTACGTTCTCGTGACAATGAAATTTGACAACAATAAATCTATAAAAAAAAATAAATCTATTAACGACATTTACCGGCCTGGATGTCCTAGAAATTTTCATAAAAAATATGTGTCCTCCGGCAGGAATCGAACCTGTATCCTATATGGAACCGTCTTGTAGACTATTTCTATGAAAATTTCTCGGACATTCGGGCCGGTAAATGTCGTTAATACTGTTCATTATAAATAGAGCATTTACTTAAATATTTGTATCTATAAAAAAGAATGTATAAACCTAAAAAATGTCTTAGAATCATTGTTGGACTTTTTCTATTTCATAATGTATAACACATTATGAAAACGTTGAGAATGAGCGTTCAGTTTGGAGTCAGGAAAATAATTAATTGTAACGGTACAGTGACGTCACCACAGCATCATATATTACTCAATCGAAATAGAAGGTATGTGAAACGTTGTAAGGATGTTTCATGTTAAGTGGTCCAAGAGGATTGTATTAAGTTTACGTCAGTCAAAGTGAGAATTCTATGATCGAAGTTGATGAGATGAATTCGAATAATATCAATCTTTAGTCTTTATTCAATATCTCATTCGATGTTTATTCTTGAGGGTCACAGTGCAACAGATCAGTTCCTTTTGTAGAATAATATACGACGTTTGCTTTGAGTGATTTGAACCAGTAATGGAAAAGAAAGATAAAAAAGAGGAAAAACGACCAAATCGACGACAAATCCAGAAAGGAAAGTTACGATCAGAACAAACATTACTGAAATATTATGCATGCATCATCACGACCTAACATGCGCAAGGGAAATATTTGCATAGCCGTTTATAACGATTTTTACGAGCGCGTCAATAACGGCAAACGTGTTCAGGAACTTTCATTACAGACAGAAGCTGCAAAGAGGAACAATCGTTTTATTTATTTCATTAAGAATTTACAAAGAGGAACGATCAATTAGTTTTTTTTTCATATCCTGCCTGGTGGCAAATGCTGCTGGTGGCGGTCCCGCCATAGCCACCGAAACCCGTTATATCACCCCTGGTCGGCGGCTGATGAAGACAGGGTATCGTACGTGCTAACACACGTTGTATGTTAAAAAAAAATATCTTTCAATCGCTTCCTTTCTCTCTTTCTTTGTAACTGTTCGTCGCTCTTTCTCCCTATCTCTTCTTCACTCTTTTTTTGTCTCATCTTCTCTCTTTCTTTCTAACTCTCTATTTTTCTCTCTTCATCTCCATCTCCCTTTTTATATCTCTTCCTCTCTATCTCCCTCCCTATTTTTCTGTCCCTTTGTCTCTTACTCTATCTCTATCTGCCCATTTCTACCACCCTCTCTATCTATAGTGGCCTACCACAGAGGGCAAAGAGGCCCAGGGTTGCATGTATTTTTTGTAACGCAAGAATAAAATCAAGAATAAAATAACTTACCTCCAGCATGAGCAAAGATTCAAACATACCTCGCATGTAAACTGTCCAAACAAGAAAGAAATGGCGGTTTTGTGGGTTACCCATTTAAAACAGCTAGATCCCAGAGTAAGATACTCTCTCATGAGATTACCGTTTCACATGCAAATTTTGGCTGTCAATGATACATAAATTGATGAATAAAAAATTTGTTTTCATATTTATTTCTTTATAAATTAGTAAATGATAAATATTGCATTAAATTAGTTTTATTTTTATTAGATTTTAGAATGTAAAAATAAAAGTATCCTTAAATACTTTTAATATTTTTGTTATAAGTTCTGAAGAACAAAAAAAATCACTTTCATCATATATTTAGGTTTTATTATAATTCTAATCACTTTTTAAATCCGTAAACATTGCCATTGAGAAAAGGTAGTTAAAATAATAGTTGTGTGAAGAGAAAAACCTTTTTGACACTTTGCAAGCACAAAGGTCCAAGTTTGTCAAAAATATTTTAAAATTCCTTCAATATCTAAATTATTTCATCTATAAAGCAAAAAGAAATGTTACAGAATTAAAAGAAAATAACTTTTAATAATTTTGATGAAACTGGGTACATAATACTACCAACCAACTCAGTAATGACTCCAACTATCAGGTCATCCGATAAGTTCTGTTCGAATTTTGAATAAAGAAAACAAGTGACCAAATGTTACATTTAATTACAGATTCAATCAACAATGTATTTTCCCTGATTATCTATGACTTCCTTCCATCTATTAACAAGCTTACTAATTCCATTACCGTAAAATTCTTTTGGCTTTGATTTAAAGAACTCACAAATGTCAGTTTTAACCTCTTCCTGTTTTACAAAAGCTGTTTCTTCCAAATGATTCTGTAATCTACGAAACAAATGGTAGTCTGAAGGAGCATGATTGGGAGAATAAGGTGGATGAGGAATTTTCTCCCAACCAAGTTCTTCGATCTTTTGTGACGTGATTCTTGCTTTGTGGGCTCACGCATTGTCCTGATGAAACATCACCCCTTTTCGATTCACTACAGCAGGTCTTTTTTTCCTCAAAGCTTGGTTCAAACGCTCTAATTGCTGACAGTATATTTAATTGTTGCATTAGGTGGTAAGAATTCAAAGTGGATTATTCCTTGGTGATTCCACCAGATTGAAAGAAGAACCTTTTGCCCATGAAGTTCTCTTCTCGGCTGTGGCTGGAGTCCTTCCCCTTTACCAAGCCAGTGTCTATGAAGCTTAATATTTCGATAAAAGATCTATTTTTCGTCGCCAGTCACAAGTCTATCCAAAAAGGTGGCGAGAATGGAGAGAAGAGCAGATGTCAACTCGGGATTTGAAGTTGTTTTCAGAAAATTCATGAAGCACCCATTTTCCAAGTTTAGGAACTTTTCCAAGTTGTTGAAGATGACGATGAACAGTTGTATGGTTTGAACTGAGAACCACTGCCAATTCCTCAACTGATAAAGCAGGATTTTCTTCAAGGGCTGCTTCAAGAAGCTTTTCATCAAACTCAACTGGACGTCCGATTCGATCTTCATGTTCAAGGGTGAAATCTCCACCTCTGAATTTTGCAAACCATCTTCTGCAAGTTCTTTCATTCACACATTCCTCTCCATAAACTGAGTGAATGTTTCTAGCCGCTTCGGCTGCTGAGTTTCCTTTCTTGAACTCATAAAGCATTATGTGCCTCAAATGATTCTTGGGTACTTCCATGTTAGCAGAGTTTTAATCAAACAAAATTTAATTTTATTGTTCTCGGAAATAAAATTTGATCAGTTTAAATGCATCTAAACATAAAAATAATGTTCAGCTCCATTAGACATTATAAAATACTCTTTAAATTTTGTTCATTTTAACAAAAAGTTAAAATTCGGACAGAACTTATGAGATGACTTGATAAAATTGATTGTTTTGTTACAGCTTATCAACCGTATTTTGGCATAAGAATAATTCATTTTTTTGTTTGTGAATTAATATTGCATTAACAATTCTTTCGTGAATAAATGTTTTTTTATACAAGTTTGACCCATAGCTGAGGGAGGAAATGGATTCATACCTTTCTGTAGTGAACTACCACAGAGGGAAAAGAGGCCCAGGGTTGCATGTATTTTTTGCAATGCTAGAATAAAATAACTTACCTCCAGCATGAGCAAAGATTCAAACATACCTTGCATGTAAACTGTCCAAACAAGAAAGAAATGGCGGTTTTGTGGGTTACCCATTTAAAACAGCTAAATCCCAGAGTATGGTACTCTCTCATGAGATTATCTTTGCAGATGTGCAAATTTGGCTGTCAATGATACATAAAAATGGGGGAAAGAGGCAACAGCAGAGTGGTTTACTGCTGTGTTGAACTGGCTACAGATGTCACAGACAGTAGAGTGAAAAGAAACTGATTGTGAGCATTGTTTCCCAGTTTAAAGCTTTTTTGTTACAAGCCATTTTGGGAAGTTCTGAATTTTTCTACAAGATGGCAGAGAAAGCATTTGATATCAGATTGACCCCTGAAATTAGTGATGTTGCCACTGATTTACCAAACATGGAGTGGATTGAGAACATTGAGTTGGTATGTAAACTGTGCGACATGAAGAGGGTAAAATGCATCTCACTGTTACAAATGAGAGGTGAGGCTCTTGCCGTATACTGGCAACTAAGTAAAGAGCAGAGGTCAGATAAAGCAAACCCTTGTGACTGCATACATAACAGACTCCTTCAATGTGTTTGACCAGTTTACGATGAGGCCACTTTGTACTGGGGAAGCTTTCTTTTTTGCAATGCTAGAATAAAATAACTTACCTCCATCATGAGCAAAGATTCAAACATACCTCGCATGTAAACTGTCCAAACAAGAAAGAAATGGCGGCTTCGTGGGTTACACATTTAAAACAGCTAGAGCCCAGAGTAAGGTACTCTCTCTATCGTTGCGCATATAAAAATCTTATCTATCTATCTATCTATCTATCTATCTATCTATCTATCTCTAGTTCTCTTTCTCGCTCTGCCTCTTTCTACCTTTTCTCCCTCTCTCTGTGTCTATCTTTCCCTTTCTATCTCTCTTACTCTCTCTTTTTTCCTCCCCTCTTTCCATCTCTTTCTCTCTCTCCCTATCTCTCTCTTTCACTCTCTCTTTATCTCTTCCTACCGCTCTATCATTCACTCTCTCTCCTCTCTTTTTTCCTCCTCCTCTTTTAAATTAACAGATAACGAGATAATAAATTCAAGAAAGATATTCAAGCCGGCACTCCTCATCTAAATTCCCATTGAAAATAATACGAAAAGAAATTTTATACCTTCTATAAATATTGTTATGTATTCTGATATTATAATGGATCAGAGCCGATTTGTTCAGCTGCAACACTTCGCAACGTTGGAGATGAGCGGTCAGTCTGGGGCGAGGAAAATAATTGATTGTTATAGTGTCGTCACTACAAAGTCATACGTCCCCCACCTCAATCGAAATACGAAGTCTTTATAATGTTACAAGAACATTCAGTGTTAGATAAGAAATGCTTTCAATATTCCAACATATAAAATAATGGAGTCTTGTCGTCGTCGTTGTCGTTGGCAGAACACGTTGTCGACTATTCGGGTGCTCATTGAGATTTCCTTCTCTGTCAAATGAGTTCTACGTTGGAACAGAAGAGACGTCCACAGCCACCGCATAATAGAGTAGGGGGTTTCAGGGAATGGCCGGCGCTGGCTTTTCTTTGGGTTTTCTTCGTCTCTTCTCTTTGTCTTCTGGTGTTTTCGAAGGATGTCGTTTTTTCGTGGACTGCTCTTCTCCTATTGCTTCTTTAATGAAGTCTAAAGGTTGTCAGATCCATAGAAAAGGATCTAAGCGTTTCAGAACAAATGCATGAGAAAACTCCTTGGCGTCTTCTATTGGGAACATAAAACCTATGAATTTGTGCGGGAAAGGGTCGAAAGGAATCGTTTCTCCCCCATATCAAACGGAGAAAAATGGCATGATTTCGACACATTACAAGGCACGACTGTTGTATACCAATGCATAATCTCATCCATCTAGAATCCATATATTGAAAAGATATATATAGGACCCGCGAATAATGAATTTAAAATAAGGGGTGGAGACTACACAAAAGCGCTTTCAATAATATTAGAGACAGAAATCAAACATCCCTATCTAAAGAAACAAATAAAACACCAAAAGTAAAATGGAAAATAATAACTTGTAAAACCTGGAATTACCCTAGCCCTTTATGCCTACATGAAAAACTACACATTATTAAGTTTCTAAAAAACAAAACTTTATTAAATCAAAGAAATGAGATAACGTTTTTTTGCCGACACCATCAAATATTCGCCTTAAATAATTAACATTTTCTAAAAAAAAATTAAAAATTTCAAAAACTATGAACAAGTTCAATTAAAGCAATAAGTTTAAAGACACAACCTAGTCATAACCTTAAAGACCCTTTTAAGAAATCATCAACAAAAGCAAATAAATAAACACCAAAAACTACTGGGACTACAACATCAATCAGTTAAAGTTTTAGCATAAAAAACCCAAAACAACAACAGAACTACTACATCAATCAGTTAGAGTTTTAGCAAGGACTCTGATAAGATTAGCCATTGTAGCCAGACAAAAAACCCACCTCAACCTTAGACAACTCCAAAAACTTGACATATCACAAACACCCCTACTTCCATCAAAGCAGTGATCCCTTGATAAAGAAAAAACAATCTCTAGACCACAACTCCATTTCAAAACTATAAATGAGTAAAACATTCCGTTCCATTGTTATCCCAAAACAACGCTTGGGGATGAAACTGCTACCCAGTGGTTAAGCTTTAATATTGGAATTAAACTTAAATACTGCTGACCAGTTTCGAAACATAGTAATTTCTGTGTCGCGATGAAATCATATTTTTTGAAAAAATTAATTATAATCTAAGCTCTACTTCTGTATCGAGCACTGTTTTTTTTTTTTTTTTTTTTTTTTTTTAAATAAGAACAAGAATACTAAAGAACTTCGGATGATCAATCTAACAGTTCTTTCCTATTATGTCAATACACACACACACATACACACAGATATATATATTTCCTTATATATATTCCATATATATATATATTCTCTTAGTGTTTATCTTTAAGTCAATAATTCGGATTTATCTAATTGTTTATATGTTTTGTCTTTCTTCAGGACCACCGAACAGTCCAGCCGGTGTTTATGCCGAACCAGTAATGACTAATAAGAGAGCTTATCGGCTTCATTGGACAGATGGTAACGACAATGGCTCCCCGATCCAATTCTACAACATCCTCGCTGCTACTCATCATAGTCCTGTCTACAAGACCTTATTAGAAGGTATTGAATTCTTGCTTGGTTGATCGTTGTGATGACATTTTACCTTTTATGGCATCTCAGAAGCAAAGGGGAGCTATACTTAACGATGTCTGTTTCTCCTCTACAGTTATCATGTGGCAGATGGTATTTTGTTACCTGGTACCTGCAGCAGGGAAGAATTCTTGTTTTAACTTAGAAATATAAAATCGGTTTTCTGTAGCGTATTTTATAAAATTGTATTTGCATTTATTTTCAGATCGAAAAAAAATTGCTTTATTGTAAATTTTGCTTTTGTGATTTTCAATTCCACTGCTTTTCGGCAATATTTTTTCTAATAAATAAGTCCTATTTTTCAGCACCCGTTTTAACTAAGACTTGCCATTATTGGAATTAATAATCTTTTTAATTTGAAATCATATTCTTTTGTTAGTCATCATAATTTAATATTCGACAATAATACACTGATTAAAAATTGATTGCTTTTTATATGTAAGCGTATAATAATTCTAGTATGTCTGTCTATATCTCTGAGATGAGCTATTATGATTACTTGCATTATTTACATTATTCGGACTGTTATCCTCATCGTAATTGCCATATTCACAACGTTTCAGCCGTTGTACGCTCGAGCCTTGTTCTGGTGATTGGAAATGTTCTTCAATATCTGTCTATATCTCTGAGATGGGGTATTATCATTAATTGCATTATTTACATTATTCGGACGGTTATCCTCATCTTCATTGCCATATACACAACGTTTCGGCCGTTGTACGCTCCGGCTTTTATGTCTATGTCTGTCTATATATCTGTCTATATCTCCGAGATGAGGTATTTTGATTACTTGCATTATTTACATTATTCGGACTCTAATCCTCATCTTCATTGCCATATTCACAACGTTTCGGCCTCTATATCTCTGAGATGAGGTATTATGATTACTTGCATTATTTACATTATTCGGACTCTTATCCTCATCTTCATTGCCATATCCACAACGTTTCGGCCTCTATATCTCTGAGATGAGGTATTATGATTACTTGCATTATTTACATTATTCCGACTGTTATCCTCATCTTCTTTGCCATATTCACAATGTGTTGTAGAGTGAATGAAAAGTTTTTTTTTTCTCCGTATGAGAACGAATCCTGGTCGCCAAAGTTGTTATAGACTAGTTTCACAGTGGAGGCTTGTATTTCACTAAGTCGGTCCTAAAAAGGTTCGACGTACAAAACGTTAGGAACTTGATATAATAGGTAATGACGCAGCAATCTAGTTGTGGTGGTTGATACTTTAATGTCCGACATCGACTGACTCACCAACTCACTGAGCGACTTCGCGACAGCTACTACTACTACTTATTATATGTGGGAGAGTCTATTACCAATAGAATAGGTATGTTCCAGTATAACACAATGTTTCGGACTTCTTCAGACAATTGGAATTTCGAATAGAACTCTTTATTTTGTCCACCGGGGTATATTGTTCTAGTTCCACGTGCCATGCCTCTTCCGGATGTCCCAGTTATTCCCCTTTAACTCAACTTTCCAAGTTTTGGTTCATCACTATTGTGGCCTGGTATTGCTAAAATAGCTGATTAGCGCCCTAAAAGTCGTCTTTCAGAGCAATGCATAATTAAAAAGTCTTTCAAAAATAAAATATGCTTTTCTTAAACATTATTTGAGGAATATTATATGATTTAAAGCATAATTAATCTGATTTGAAACAAATATTATTTACTTTAAGTTTAAAGTAACACAGAAATGCATTTTTAAAACAAACAGTAGCAGTGTTTTTAACTGACCGTCGCCATGTTTGTGTGTTTGACACGTGACGAAAAGTTGATGACATTGTTATTATTATTCTACGGAGATTTTATCCGTAAAACAAAATTTAGGAAAACGACCTGAACGCCTATTTTATATATTTTTTAAATACTCAGTAATCTTAAAAATGTGGGAAAATATTCTCCATAATCTAATTTTAGGAATGTTGACTTTAAATTTACTATAGTCATCGCTCTTATTTTCTGATAATATCGTTTATGGTCACCCATACTTTCAAAATGAGCAAGTTTATACACATAAAATAAAAATACAAAATTTAAAAAAGATCTCGTTTTTGAAGACAGGTATTAAGCTTTTCAATTTTTGATTACTAAATATATATATATATATATATATATATATATATATATATATATATAGTACACTTAATATCACCTAACACGATCAAAGTAATACAGAAATTTAAAAGCTTTGAAATTATAATAATTAAATTAATTATAAAATTATAATAATTAAAATAAAAAATGAAACAATTCTTGTAGAAATTGATTATTCATCCAAAAATTTTTCTTAAGGCAATAATGTCCTTAATAAATTTAATTTATAAAAGCAATTAAAAGCTTTTCGCATTAAATAATGTCATAGTTTTATTGCATTTTTTATTTTACGGTTCAGAGCAGATTTTCGGGAAATTTGTAACTGAAAAAAATTCATGATTTACATTATCAAAGGAGTCCAGCTTTTAACTAATAAAAATATTTTGCGATCAAAATTTCATAAAATTAAGTAACAAATGTAAAAAAATATTTTACCAAGATTTTGTAAAAAATATTCATTTATTTGTGAATAAATTCTGGAAGTTTCATTAAAATCCGGCAATTATTTGATTTTTAGAATAATTTCCAAATAAATATGCTTTTTACCGGAAAAAGAGTATTATTAATAAATTTTTGTTGACCATTAACTAAAGTTTTATAAAAGAAAGAAAAATCCATCTCCAAACTAATGATTTAAATCCACCTGAATTGTTTTTCAGATATCCCAGAAGAAAGTACTTTGCAATATGACAGCAGGCAAAGGACATTTCTGGTAGGGGAGCTTCGACCTGGTTTGCTGTATTCTTTTCAAATAAGAGCGAAAAATTATCACGGACTGGGGCCGCCATGTGAACCCTCAGGTAAAATCAGTTTTATTCTTGTCCTAGGACCATTATTATTTCATTTTTCAAAGACAATGTTTATCCATTCAAAGAACGAGATGTCAAAAAACGATAATGCCAAAAATAAATTCATGACAGTCCATTCTCGGAACGGATAAACAAATAGAATTAAATTTAACTTTGATGCGCGTATTGACAAGACTTTGGTGGCAGACATGTTGCAAAATTTGATGGCCCAACCAGGATTAACTATTAAGTTGGCCAGAAAGTCATGACTCACTTAGGCTGCAGAAAGAAAGCAATAAAAGTTTTATGGAGCCACACCAATATTTATTCTTCAAAATGATGTTCATTATTCTCGACGATCTTTTGCCAGTGATCAACCAACATCTGAATCTGTCCGAGATTCCCGTCCATTGGCTTTGAATCAGAAGACTGTAAAGAAACTTCCTTTACTTCCTCAAAAGTGTTGAATCTCTGGTCGCGTAGGATGTGTGCCATTAAACGGAATTGGCCATAGTCACTCGGGGCAACATCGAGACTGAACGGTGGATGTGGAAGAATCTCAACAACGTCTATCTATTTAAAATTCTCTTTAGTCTATCTGGCGGTGTTTGGTCTCGCATTATCTTGCTGAAACAATGCCCGACCTCGATTGGACAAAGCAGGATACTCCTTCTTTAGTTTGTCGTTTACGCTGTTTATCTGCTGGCAAGAGTTTAGCGTTGATGGCGTGGACGTGTGGAACAAGCTCGAAATGCAGTACTCCTTAGAAATTCCACCAAACAGAGATCAAGATATGTTGTTTTCTTTCCGCTTCCTATGTGAGGCAGGACTTTCTGGCCAACCTCGTATTTTCAATATTTCATAGATTTTTGTGACTATTGATTTTCTTTTTGTTGCTTTTAGCGCAATGTGTTCTCCAGCCATTTTGTGGATAAAAATCGAAACGACGTCGTGTTTATAAGGAATTGTAACAACCCACTTTGACCAAATTATTCTTCAAATGCTTCTTATATAATTCTGGTTTCTTAACTGAAATGTACCCCACCTTTAGTCCATTTTCTTGAAATATTTCCTTCTTTGTATCTACTGTCACCAAATTGGAGGAGACATGCTCATTCATCACTCGTGTTTTTCTCTAGCTAAGATTTTACTGCCTTGACCAGTTTTCGTACTATCCTATGCTGCAGATTTCTTGTTTTCTTTTAACTAAAATGTACCCTAAATAAAAGGCCCAAGAGACATTCAAGGTAGAGGGTTACTGAATGATGTTTTTGTATGGATATAAGTGAAGTAAGTAAGTACAGCTGATGAAGATATGTAAGATAGATAACAGTTGTGAAGAGGTTACGAGTACCGTAATCGGTGAAGCCATATCCAAATCCAGAAAGTAATTGCTCTTGGGAAAAGCTGTTTGAGAGGAACGTTGTTTTTGCTAATGCAATACGAAGAAAATGAAGATAATTGTGGATATCTATGCCTATGATACGACGATATACGCGGTCCACCCATAAAACTCATCATAATCAGAGATTGTTGGTTTGAGTTCGTATGTAAATTTTAGTACAGAGTTTTTTGTTTTGTTTTTTTCGAAAAGTTGATTTTAGTTTTATGATTTTTTCCTTATTTTTATCGAAATAAAAATGTCATCAACTTTCCTTGTGTAGATTTGTGGTTGGGTCAGTTGTTCCAAACTCTTTGTTTTTAATATGCTACATATAAAAGTTAGAGAAGACATGCCCTAATGGTTTTCCCATGCTGACGCCATTACCATTATGATCGTAGAATAAGGCTTTCGTGGTACAGGTGACCGGTAGTTTTCGAAGTGTTGCTGATCGAATTTTAAGAGGAGGGATTCACAGATGTTTGTAGATGCAGATGCAAATTATGTTGATTGTTTCTTCGACTGGGATGTTGACAAAAAGATTTTTAACTTTTCCTCATTTTTATCGAAACAAAAATGTCATCAACGTACCTTGTGTAAATTTATGGTCTGTCGGTTGTTTCAAACATTTTGTTTTCAATAAGTGACATGTAAAAGAAAAAGTAGGACCTAATGGGCTTCCCATGTTGACGCCATCAGTCTGGAGCTAGATATTGCCATTATGATCATAGAATCAGGCTTTTGTGTTACAGGGTGGAAGTAATTTGTAAAGATTTACTGGCTGAATTTTAGGAGGCTGGATTGACGTATGTTTGTAGATGCAGTTACAAATTATGTTGATTGTTTCTTCGACTGGGATGTTAAAAAGATTTTTAACATCGAACGAAACGAATAACTAATGCGTATTTAGGAGCAAATGTTCTTTAAGGCAAATATTATTAAAACCAACAGACATTTTGTGTCGATTAATTTTAATGATCAACTTTACCAAATTAAGGATGATTCTTCTCAGACATGGAGGAATTACGTCAAAAATTGTTCGAAGTTAATTTCGAAAGAAAAATGGTCCAGGCATTTGACTTTCTTAAGTAAGGGTAAGTAGAGTCGTCACTTAGACAAAGAGAGTCGTAATACAAGCACGGTCTGATGTCTGAGAGGGTTATTTTATTTATATACATCTAAGGATGCTGGCTCTTAAGTTATAATTGTTTGATTAATAGATGGTTGTTTTCTTTGTATGAGTATTGCTTCAAGGATTAGAAGTCTGTTTTTACTATTTTGATTTTGCTAGCATTTTGGTATTGTTTGTGAGTAGCTGTCTAAAGTTACTATGATCCTTATGCTGCTTATTAATGTGTTGCTTGATAGCACCCTAGTCCGATATGAGGAAGGTCAGTAAAATTAATCGACACAAAATGTCTTTTGATCACCTTTCCTATTCTCCTGATTTGGGCCCATCTGATTATCATCTGTTCCTCAACATGAAAGAAATACATAGCAGGGAATTAGTATCGTAGTGATGATGACGTTATATTGTTGACTTTTTTTTACCAACAGGATGAACGGTCTTCTTCGAATAGTCAGACGTCAGCTTAACTGGAAATAAACAATGCAGTGATTAATAAGAAGAGTTTAAATGAATGCATACAAAATTTCACAGCTTTGGTTTGGTTTGGTTTGGTTTGTTTTACGGCAATATTTTTTCAGAAATGTATTTCTGCTAATATATTTTTTCTAAAAATATATTGTTGGTAATATTTTTTCCCTGAAAAATGTATTGCCGGTAATATTTTTTCCTCAAAAATGTATTGCTGGTAATAAAGTATTTCTGGTCATAATTTTTATTCCAAAATTTATTGCTGGTAATAATTTTTTACAAAAATGTATTGCTGGTATTAAAGCCTATTTTTACAATTTCATAGTGTTTTGACACCAGTTTGGGGTTAACTATTTGCCCATAGCTGGGACCCTAACAGGACGCCATCACTCCGTGTCGGGATGGACTTGGGAATATCAGCAATTAAGAGGTGGTTCTAAGCTCCTCAAAACCCCTTGATCAGAAGCTATTCGATGTAGTTTATCGGCATACCCATGATGCGGATGTAGTTTATCGTCTTACCCAGGACGCGTCACAGAATTTGGCATTTATCCTTTATTTTCAGCCTATGAACTTTCAACTCACCCCCCCCATGTCCTCCTTGGTTCCAACGCAGCAGACTGTTAATGTATTATATAACGCTGTACGAAGTTCAGTTTTACAAGCAGACTTTCTCCAGTAATTGTGGCGTCTTGATTAGGCGCTAAAGAAACGTCTTGAAGTTTACTTTTTGTTCCTTTCCAGTGTTTTATTCGGTACCCCAGGCACCACCAGAGAAAGTTCCTGATCATGTTGGTGGAGGTGGTGGCTCTGTGGGAACATTGAAGATAACATGGATGGTAAGAAAACAATTTTATCATTTCTCTTCTTTTGAATTAAGTAAGACAAGAGTGCGTCTTCTTGTCATATATATTCAACCTTTACAGCGAGACGATCCGAAGAGAACTTGCTTGCATTCATTATTGGCAGTCACAAACTTAGAAACATTAGACATGCAGACGACACAGTGTTGCTAGCAGACACAGAAAGGAACTTCTACAGAAGATAGTGAAAGAGAGTGAAAAGAAAGGAATAATTATCAATTGTAAAGAGAAAGGAGGTATGATTGTCAGCCAATGGAACAGCCCAAGATATCGAAATCAAGCAAGTACGAAAACGTAAATACCTGGTAGGTGTATTAACAGAGGTCAGAAAATGTAACACCGATATCCGTAGGCGTATTGAAATCATGTCTTCCAAAAGCTAAGCAAATCATTAGTAGACGTCCATTTATCTTACTAGATAAAGATAACATCCTGTTAAGTCCAAATTCAGTCCTTTGATGATGAGATTAGAGTGACCTCTCCTAGGCGCAGTATATGGATGCTCAGACGTCATCCTCCACCTCTAGACCGTACTGGCAAGATCCAAAGGAATACAGGGCATTACATCTGGAGGCAACATGGCTGCAGGAGTTACCGAAAAGTTGTTGACATCCAACAGACTTTGGGGCTCACGTCTGGTTTTCTGTCTGGATTTATATCCATTGCCATTTCCGGGAATGGATATGACCACAACGCAGCTGAGGTTTAAAATCAGGGTTTTTCTTCTCCCTAGATGAACTGCTTTCCTAGGATGTCAAACTCCATCTACCCGAAGCAGCTGGTTATGAGGCGCCAGTTTTCCGCCTTCGCCCTTTCTTCCGCTTGGAGCTGGACATAGTGTTGTCAGAAGCTACTTGAGACAAATGTCAATGAATATTAAGCAAAGTATTAAGAAACAGGAAAAAAGTTGTGAACTGTTATGCAATATCAGTCCTCCTATATGATAGTGAAGGCTGGGCAATCTCTTGAGGCGGCAGAAATGGGATTCTGTAGAAGGATACTGAGAATATCATGGACTGAACATGTGAGTAACGAGGAAGTTTTAAAGAAAATGGAAACAAAAAGGACGCTTATACATACGACCAGGAAGAAATAGTTGAAATTTCCCCGTCACATATTGAGGAAAGAAGGCTTGGAAACCTTGACACTCATAGGGCATATTGAAAGCATAAGAAAAACAGCAAGTAACAGACATAGTAAGCTTGTGTAAATGGATGGCAAAATATTTCTCAGTGCTACAAAGGACGCCAAGTTCCGGAGAGTCATGACTGCACGCGCCCTGAAGAGCAAAAAGCTGGCCGAGTAGAACTTTTTCTTGATATTTAGAATACGGAGGAAATGAGGCTGTTTCGACTCCGTGGTTGTTGCATGGCGTACCATAAGAATAAAGGTATGAACTGGTGGGAGTAAAGAATGGTGAGCCAATCTGAACAATTATCGTGGAAATGGCAATAGACTTGCAATGTTGTTTCTTGGGGAAAATTACAACGTGTTAATGATTTGGCATCGTTGAATAACAACGTTTTTTTCAATCATTTCACCTCAAGCAAGGCGAGAATGCCACTAGCACGCAGGGGGTTACCGGGAGTGAAAGTGAGAGAAAAAAACTGAGTATAGGACTATTGAAGAAAGGATAAAAGATGAACGGGATTTAAAAAGACAGATTGACATTGCAATTAAATTTTTGAAGATTGTGGTTATCAGGGAAGCAATTAAAAGTAAGGAAGTTCCACAGGCGAGAAGTTCGAGAAATGAAACTTCTGGAATAGAAGTGGCTGTTGTATTTAGCTATTTCAATCGTAAACGGGTGGGAATTAGATGTCAATCCGGTTGCACGCTTAAAATCATGAAATAGGGGCACCATGAAAAAAAAACAAAGCTCGCAGAGCAGTTGCCATGAAAATATTTATAGAAAATACAAAGGGAAGAGTCGCCACGTCAGAAGTCGAGATACCAAGTCAGGATCGATTACATTGCAGATCCTACTTTGGTTTTTGTCAAGAACCTCGAGATTAATAGCTAAAGCACCAGACCAGATATGGAAACACTAGTTATCAAGGAAGTAAATAAACGGAAGGGAGTTCTGCAGGCGAGAAGTGCCAGTAAAGAAACTGTTGGCGAAAAGTGGCGAGTGCATTAAGCTATTTCAATAGTAAACAGTGGGACCTTGATTCTAATTTAGTAGCATGCTTAAATTAATGTTGTCCGGGCACCAGGAAAAAAACTTGTCACAGCAGTTGCCATGAAAATATTTGTAAAAAAAGACAGAGGGAAGTCATATAAATTAACTGAAGTCGAGATGACAGATCAAGATCAATTATATTATAGATCAATCTTCTTTGGATTTTGTCAAGAATCTTGAGATGAATAGCAGGAGCACCAGACCAGATATGGCAACAGTATTCAATGCACGGACGAATGGTAGATTTGTAAATGCACAAGATGGACTCTGAGGAGAAAAAACTTTTGGCACGGTAGAGTGGCCATGCTGCCCTTGCAGTAGGTGCAGCTATTGATTCGATGTAATCGATCCACTTCATGTCCATCACTTTCGTACTCATCTCCCAGACATTTGACTGCGAATTTATTTTTTCCTTGAGCCTTGTGTCAAACTTGTTGAAACCGATTTTTTTTTTATTTTGCATTTCAGGCCCTTTCAATAGAAGATCAAGGCGCTAAAGGAATCGGTTACAATGTTTATTGGCGCGAAAGTTTCAAAGAACCTTGGAATTTTGTAAGTACGCGTTTGCGAAGGCTTCTTTAAAGTAAACCGGAAATCGAAATACACTCGGTAAAGATCGACCAGAATAGGGTGCCAACCATTGCTCTACGACAGGCAACTTAAATATTTCCTAAATTTAGTCATCTAGGGGATTCGTGAGTATCAGATAAAAATCAAGTTCCTTTCCTTTTTCTTTGAGCTCTGCTTATACGAGGTCAAAACATATTTTTGTAGAATTTTCTTAAATCAAATTTTCTTTGACATTGAAATCTCACTTATATATTTCCTTGAGCATTACACACACACACACACACACACACACACACACACACACACACACACACACACATACACATATATATATATATATATATATATATATAAATATAAAGGGTGTTCTAATAAGTTGGATCGATTTTAAATGTTAATTAAGTTTAAACGTCTAATGATTTATTTCTTTTTCTTTCAGATTTAACAAGTCCTTAAGTCTTTGGTAATTTCAGCCATGGAAAGATTAACAATCAAACCACGTGTTAAAGTTATCGAAGCCTTTTACGAAAATGGACGTTCAAGCAGAAATACATTTCGCACATTTCGCGCACTTTTTCCGTCAACATAATCGACCAACCAATAATGCAATTGGAAAATTTTTATTAAATTAAAAAAAAAAAACTGGGTCGGTGGCAGATGTAAAACGACCGTTGCGTGCTCATTTACGCCGTTCAACTGAAAACATGTGGCTGAATGTGGCTGAAAATCCAGACCCCCTCTATTCGTCATCGCGCTCAGCAATTGGACCTTTCCATAACAAGGTTACATCAATTTTTGACAAAAGATTTGTCTCTACACGCTTATAAAATTCAATTGACACAAGAACTGGAACCTGCTGACCATTTGGAGTGCCGTACATTTCTCAATTGATGTGCACGACCAAATACAAGCCGATGAAGATTTTTCACAAAAAATCCTCTTTAGTGATGAGACCCATTTTCATCTTGGTGAATTCGTTAATAAGCAGAATTGTCGCATTTGGGCTCATGAAAATCCAAGGAAGATTGTTGAAAAGCCACGGCATCCACAAAAGGTCACTGTTTGGTGTGCATTTTTTTTTGCTAGCGGAATCATTGTGCCGTATATTTATAAATTTGAACGTCCATTTTCATAATAGACTTCGATAACTTTAACATGTTGTTTGATTGTTAATCTTTTCATGGCTGAAGTTGCCAATGACTTAAGTTGTTAAATCTGAAAGAAAAAGAAAAATTCATTAGACGCTTAAACTTAATTGACATTTAAAATTGGTCCAAGTTATTGAAACACCATATATATATATATATATATATATATATATATATATATATATGTGTGTGTGTGTGTGTGTGTGTGTGTGTGTGTGTGTAAGATGGATATAGAATCCCTACAATATTTTGAAGGAATTTGACAAATGGAAAACCATTTCATTGAAACTAGATTTGATTACGTGTTTCACCTCTCTAGGCTTCATCAGATTCAAAAATGAAAGAAAGAAATATGTGTGTACATATTTATGTGTATGTCTAAATAATAAATCATTAATACTTCTTTTGTCAGAATGGTGCTTCTCTTGCTGAAAGAAAAGAATGAAAGAATGAGTCACTTTTAAAAAGCCGTTCATATTTATTCTATATCTTTTCTTCATAATTCCTTGTTCATGTCGAAACTTATTAATATATTTTCCCAGCGTTTTTCCAGTTGAATTCTTGAAACTTTAACACGATGTTTGATTGTTAATCCTTCCACGGTTGAAATTACGAAAGGCTTAAGTTGTTAAATCTGAAAGAAAAAGAAAAAAATTAGACACTTAAACGTTATTCATATTTAAAATCAGCCCATATATTTGTTTTATTAATATTATTCTCTAAATATTTTCTTGGCATTACGGTTCCAAAGTTACCTTTCTTATTATTTACCATATCCAAAAACTACAATCATCACAAAAGTCCCAAATTCAGTAATCTCTCATTATTTCTCCCTGTTAACCTCTTCAAAACCAACATGTCTGCTTTTATAGCGTTCTTTCTTCCATCTTACGATTTGGGATAATTTTTTCTCTCTTTCAATTCTATTCATATGTACTGTTAAATTTTCTTGTAACTCTACTTATCCTAATTTGCGTCCAGGCTCTTACAATATATCACCATTCTTGATAGATTTTATATTGTCACAGTGTGGGATAATCAGAAACAAAGATGGTGGAGAGATAAAGAAAAAGAAAACAGATGATTTCGACTAGATTGAAAAGAAAAATTCTTTCAAAAATATTCATTCAAAAGATTTTGAAACTACCTGCGCATGTGTAGACGTGGCAACGTCATCAAAGTCCTACCTTGATTCATTATTGGTGGCCACAATCTTAACATAAGATATGCAAATGACGCTGTGTTAATAGTAGACACAGAAATAAAACTACAAAAACTTCTACAGAAGATAATGAAGGGGAGTGAGGAGAAGGGATTAGAGTGTGAAAATACCTCCTTGTACGCACTCGGATACTTACTGGTCACAGGGCTCCGTCCCTGTGCTGGTGGTATCACGGCTATGATTAGCTTAGACCAGCTCTGACCAGCTTGGACAAGCTATGACCAGCTTGGACAAGCTTAGACTAGCGGTCCGAGTGAAAACACTCGGGTCCCCACGTTAAAAACTGACCTTGTGTTACAACCTGACTCAGTGGGGGGTCAAGTAAATACCGTGAGGAGAATGGATTAAAAATCAATTGCAGGAAGATAGAATGCATGGTTGTTAGCAAAAAGGACAGCCCAAAATGCAAATTACGAATTGGAAATATCAAAAAAGTACAACAATTTAGATATCTGGGAAGTGAGATCCAGTGAAGCATTGGTGCAGCTAAAGATGCCTTCCAAAAGTTAAGCAAAGTATTAAGAAACAGAAAGAAATCATTAGAAACAAAGGATTTAGTAGCGTACTGTTACGTTATATCTGTTTTCTTATATGGCAATGAATTTTTGACAGTCTCGTCAAAGATTAAGAGGAAACTTGTAGTAACAGAAATATGGCTCCTGAGGATAACATGGGCCGGATATATGAGCAACGACAAAGTTTTAGAGAAAATTGAAACAAGGAGGAGACAATTGAAATTTCTAGAGCAGATAAGGAGGAAAGAGGGCTTGGAAAATCTGATACACACAGGATAGATTGAAGGCAAGACGGGCAGAGGAAAACAGCGCATAGCCTACTCAGTTTGAATAAATGGATGGCGGAACAAGTTTTAGACAAAACCGTAACCCTAAACCTAACCCCTAACCCTAACCCTAACCAAAGGACAAAATTTATTCAGAACTACGAGAGACAGGAAATTGTGGAGAGCCACGATCGCTTACGTCTTGAAAGTGCATGACATAAGAAAAAGAAGCAGCATTTACTTGGTTCAGGGATATTGATCGTTTGAGAGTCTATGAGCGTTTACTTCATAGGCGGCTCCTTTAATTTGGGCACCACGACATAGAATGCAATCGGTGTAATCTAGGGTCAGCTTACCCAACAAGCACAATTAGTGGTCCCAATTAGAACGAAATAGCACAGTGGTTCTCAAACGGTGCAGCGGGAGAAGGTAGTAGGTGAGGCAGAATTACCAAAAGACAATCAAAGATTTAGAAAGTTTCAAAAATTCTTATGCTAAAAATAAATATGATTTCAAAATTTAAAATATTATTATGGATTACTTGTAATTGCAAACATGAGTCCCAGTATAAATAGTTATAAATAATTATTGACCGATTTTATCATTGTGATATTTTTGCATTAGAAAAAAAGTTTGGTAATCACTTCACCAGCAAATAGATTAAGAGACTGTTCTGGCCAAAGGCGATTTATTTTCGGATAAAACAAAAAACTTAATGATAGAACATATTAGGTTGGCTAGGAAGTCCTGACTCACTAAGGGAGCGAAAAGAAAACATTCCAATTTTATGGCGCAACGCCAACATTTACTTTTGAAATAATGTCCATCATTCTCAACGATCTTCTGCCTGTTATCAGCCAGCATCAGAATCTGTCCCAGATACCAGTCCGCTGGCTAGAATAATAATAATAAAAAAAAACTGTAAACAAGCTTCCTTCACTTCATCAAAAGTGTTGAATCTCTGGTCGCGTAGGTTGTGTGCCATTAAACGGAATTGGCCATAGTCACTCGGAGCAGCATCGAGACTGAACGGTGGATGTGGAAGAATCTCAACAACGTCCATCTGTTTGAACTTCTCCTTTGTCAATCTGGCAGTGTCTGGCCTCGTATTGTTTTGCTGAAACAATGCTTGACCTCGATTGACCAAAGCAGGATACTGTTTATCTGATGGCAATACAGTTTAGCGCTGATGGCGGGACGGTGTGGTATAAACTCGAAATGCAGTACTCCTTGGAAATTCCACCATGTTGTTTTTTCCCCTGCTTCCTAAGTGAGTTAAGACTTTTTTTTTGTTAAGCGTTTCACCCCAAGCAAAGCGAGAAGCCACTAGGACGCAAGGGGTTACAGTAAATTTAGGGCAAGATCAGATAGGAGTGATAGAAGAAAGGATGAGGAGAAGGGTAGTGGATAGATCAAGGCAACTGGAGATGTCGATTGACATTACATTTGAATAGCTGGAGATTATAGCTCTCAGGGAAACTGGAATAAGGAAGGGAGTTCCACAGGTGAGATGTGCGAGATATGAAGCTATTGGAGTAGAAGAGACGGCTACATTTAGGAGTTTCGACAGTGAAGGGGTGAGAGCGGGATGCCAGCCTCGTAAGGCGCTGGAACTCTGGGAACCAGCGAATAGAGCAAATGCCATGAAAGTATTTGTAAAACAGACAGAGAGAGGCGACGACGCGTCTGTGAGAAAGTGACTGTACTTTCTGGCCAACTTTGTATTTTGAAGAAAAATTCTTATGAAGAATACTTTCGCCCATGCCGTTGAAAAAGTAATTATTTGAAGTTGAAAGAAAGTGTATAAATTCACTTTCCTGTGTTTAGGTTTTATTACAACTCTAATCATTGCATTTTAAAACAATAAACATTGCCAAAAAGTAAATGTAGTTAAAATAATAGCGGCCTCAACGGAAAAACCGCCCTTTTGAAAATCCTTCTTATTGCGAGCACGTTTATTGTTTGCCCATATTTCTATGTCTCCTTTAATCAGATTCGTTCTATAACTGATGGCAATTAAGTGCGCCTGTTAGTCTGTTAATCTGGCAATTCGTTGTTGGGGATACGCTTCCTCGTTTTCCATGTTGGCAATAGTCGTTTTTTATTTAAGTGTTTAGCTTATTGCAAACAGAAGGGAATCTGAATTTTTTTGTGAGCCTGTGAGAGATATACATGTGATAAGAGGCCAAGCCTACGATATTCGCAGACATCTGAAGGTATTTAAAAGTTTTGAAATACCGATGGCCATCGAAGAGAAGAAAATAATTTAAAAGTGTCCTTATATAGAGTTATTGTAATTACAGTTTGGTAGTATAGCAAGGATGCCTGACATATTTCCTTGAAATGACCGAGGCTTTGCGACTGAACACTTAACGGATTTGCGTTTCTTCCTTTCCCATCTTTGCAAGCACACACACACACACATACACACACACACGCTCTCTCGCTCTCTCACTCATGCACATACATACACACAAAAATTTACAGACACATATAAACAAAAACATACTTATACACATACTCACACACACATACATACACGCAT